GAATTAAGTGTTGCTGTGTCCTCCCTCTCACAGTGCCTGGAGGCTGCTAGGGGCTGGAGGGGGAGCAACAGGTTGAAGCTATACTCTGGCAAGACCGACTGGCTCTGGGTTTGGGGTTTGTTTGGGGTCTTGGATGGGGTAGCACTAGCCCAAACAGACCCTGTGTGTAATTTGGGGGTTCTCCTGGACTCGTGACTCCTGCTCAAAGAACAGGTGGCGGTTGTGGCCAGGAGGGCCTTTGCGCACCTGCGGGTTGTGCGCCAGTTATGCCCTTTCCTGGACCAACAAATCTTACTCACGTCACCCATGTCCTAGTCACTTCCCGACTTGACTATTGCAATGCGCTCTACATGGGGCTGCCCTTGAAGAGCATCCGGAAGCTCCAGTTCATGCAAAATACAGTGGCCCACATGGTTTTGTGCAGACCTCGATGTGTACATGAATTACCTGTCCTGCGGGAGCTGCATTGTTTGCCGATTTGCTTCCGGGTATAATTCAATATGCTGATTGTCACCTTTCAAGTCCTTCATGGCTTAGGACCAAGTTATCTGAAGGACTGTCTCTTGTAGGTCACTTCTACTTGACCCACCATAGCGGGAAGGCAAGGAATGTTGCGAGTTCCATTAATTGATTATATGATTCTCTCTTTTATTAGTTAATTGTTTTTATATGAGGTTTTTATATTCTTGTAAGCTGCCTTGAGTCGTCATGTGAGAATAGACGACAATATAAATTTCCAAAAATAGATAAATAAATATTGCTTCTTGCCTGCCTTATAAAAGTGGTCAGAAAATTAGAGAAATGCTACCAAGGATCATCAACAGAAGCCTTGAACAAACTTTAGAGCTCAACCTTTCTTCTCTATTTCATTAAAATTCTTACAGAAACTTGAAGTCACTTTCAGCCTTACCTAATAAACATAGAAACATATGAATGATGGCAGAAAAAGATCTAGTGGTCCATAGAATCTGCCCCTTAAGGATTTGAAGATCCTTAAATTATAATTAATTTCAATTTTTATATTTTTTAAATTTTTGTTGGATGTTGGATGTGTTTATTCCAAGCATCTTTAAACTCAGTTACTAATAACTGACCCACCTCTGCTGGATGTTGGTTCCAAACTTCCACTACTCCAACGGTCCCCAACCTTTCCAGCTTGCAGGACTGGTGGGTGGGAGAAGGGATAGCTCCAACCAAGTGACGGGGGAAACGCGTTCGCACTGATCTATTTACGCTAACGGTGGGACATGCGCCTGCCGCTAGCACAAATGGAGCTTTGTGCACAAGCTTGTGCAAGTGGAGCTGCACATATACACTCACCCACCTCTTGCATGCCCCAGTTTTGAACAGGCCGCACCCCGGTAGTGGGCCACAGCTTGGGAGTTGGGGACCTCCGTACTACTCTTTCTCTGAAATAATATTTTTTAACATTACTTTTGAACTTCCCATCTGTCAGTTGAGGTTATGCCCCCAGGTTCTTGATTTTTGTTTAACACTGAAAATACTTCTAGAACCTTATTCACACCCTTAATATACTTAAAGATTTCAATCATGTCCCCACTTTTCCTTCTGTCCTCCAGGCTGTACATATTAAGTTTCTCCAATCTCTTTTGATACTTTTTTTGTCTCTCAGACCTTACACCAAGGTCTCTGTTGCCTGTTTCTGGACTCATTCAATCTTATCCATATTTTTGTTTAAGTAAGGTCTCCATAACTGGATACAGTATTCCAAATGGGGTCTGAGTAAATCCCATTACAGTTAGATTAGGACTTCCTTAAATAAATATGTAAAACTAGTTAACAGTTTGGGAGAAAAACTTTCCATACATTTTCAACTCAATGACCATATTTCCATTTTCAAATCTACTATGACCTTCCTTCCTCCCTCCCTCCCTCCCTCCCTGAATAACCTATGAAACAAAGCTTTATACTTGTATTTACTTGAAACATTACAATGGATTAAACGGGGCAATTTAAAATTTTAAATGGAAACTTTTACCTAAATATAGTTGGTCCTCAGCTTATGACAACTGGGACAAGAACATTATACTTGTAAACACCATTTAATTTTTAAAGAACAAATTAAACATTATATTGTCATCTTTAAATCTTATTACTTGAAGAGAACATATCCTTGTTAAAATAAAAATAATTATCTATCCCTGAAAAAAAAAATTAAGGGGTAAGAAAGCAGACAATATGGACTATCTCTTTATCTTACATATAATTTGTTCCAATTTGTAAGCCCCAGAAATGTACAACAATGCAAGAATAAACATGTCAGGGGAGAGGTATAACTGTCTTCCAAGAAATGGGGGCCACTACAGAGAAGGTCTTTGTCCTATGATCCCAATAGCCTATGCTAATGAGTGTAGCAACCTAAAGAACTTGCAACAGCAGGATTGCCATGCCAAAGTCTGGCTTCTGCATACTGGACCAGTGTCCACTTCCAAATCATTTCCAAAATAGCCTCACTTAAGGGAACATTACAACAGTCCAACTGTTTTGGAGATCAAAATGTGAATTACCATTACAAGGCCATTCAAATAAAGGTAAGATCATTTGTTAAAAGCAGTGACATAAAAAATAAAGATATACCGGTAATCTAATTTGAAATCACCATCTTGCGAACAAACTAAGAATACTTCTACAAATGCAAGGATGCCATAGGTTCGCATTTTTCAAACAGCAATCTCCAATTGCTACATGATAAACCAATCATTAGTGACTTTCATAAGCCTGGCATAATTTAAAATGATGTTACATTTAGCCAATTCATTGACAAAGAAAGCTACATACATTTTACACAGATTTTAAATTTTATAGATAACAATACCCATTAATTTAATTAAACCTTTAAAAACTTCAGTGGGGCAGCTGACTTTTTAAAAAAATAGAGGATATGCTTTCTTTAAGCAGATGTGTATAGGTAATCCTCGACTTACAACAATAATTGGGACCAGAATTTCTATTGCTAGGTAAGGCGATTAAGTGGGTTGTACCCAATTTTATGACATTTTTGCCAGTTATTAACTAAATCAGTGCAGTTGGTAAGTGAATTGTGATTGTTAGGCGAATCAGGCTTCTTTCACTGACGATGTTGGAAGCCAGCTAGAAAGGTTGCAATTGAATCCAGGATGCTGTAACCATTGTAAATACATGCTGGTTGCCAAGCACCCAAAATTTTGATCACATGGCCATGGGGATGCTGTGAAATTATAAGCACAAGGACTAGTTGTAAATCACTTTTTTGGTGCCTTCCAGTAACTTTAAATTATTGCTAAATAAAAGGTTGCTAAGTTGAGGCCTGTTAAATTGGATGCAAAGTAGGAAAGGTGTTTTGGTTCTGGCATGGCCAAATTTGTTAAGTTATGTTTTCCTTAAAGAAAATATACTGAAAGCATATTGCATATTTATTTATTTATTTGTTTTAATTTGTATACCGCCCTTCTCCAGCAGGACTCAGGGCGGTGAACAGCCAGAATAAAACAGAACATACAAACTTTAAAAACAGTTTAAAAATAATTAAATATTTTTGGCTGCAATTTAAAACAAACCCTATCACATCACTATTTACTTATCTATAAACTAGAGTTCTTTTGCTGTTGTTAAATATGCATGTTTCAACTAAACATGAAAAACATCACTTTTTTATCCAGAAGAATATTATTCATATGCAAATAAGGGCATTTATCAAAACATATTTTCATGTACCTTTTTCATGGGATGGGATATCTATTAATAGGCAGAAGGGTTTATAATTCAAGGGGGAGGGGATCTAAATTCTTAGAAAGATGTAAAACAGCACTCCAACCCTGGCCTAGAAAAGCAACTTGAATAGAGAATAAATGTTGCTGTTATATGATATGACGAATTCTCTTCCTACCTTAAAGATATAAACATTAAATTGCATGTAACGTTTGCAAATTTTATACTGCAGGTTCAACACTTCCATGGCACATTTAATCCTTGCTACATTTTTGTATAATTTATAAAACAGGCACTAACCATATCAGGAAACTAAGAATCAGCATCCCATAATTGCATTAAAAATCAAAAGACATCCTCCCCCAGCAAAAAAATCCTGAAGTCAATTAAAAAACATGTTATGGAAATAGTATTTTCTATGTTCTGAACTCACAAAACGCCCCTCCTATTAGTACCAATATAAATTTACCATGTACATCAGGGGTGAAATCCAATTTTTTTACTACCGGTTCTGTGGGTGTGGCTTGGTGGACATGGCAGGGGAAGAATACAGCAAAATCCACATTCCCTCCCCACTCCTTGGGGAAGGATACTGCAAAATCTCCATTCCCACCTCACTCTGGAGCCAGCCAGAGATGGTATTTGTCAGTTCTCCGAACTACTCAAAATTTCCACTACTGGTTCTCTGAACTGCTCAAAATTTCCACTATCAGTTCTCCAGAACCTATCAGAACCTGCTGGATTTCACCCCTGATGTACACCATTTAAATTTATCCTTAAAAGATATTTCATCCTCTCCAATTCCTCCAACCTCAGTAAAGTCTTTATGTTATCTTACCAGAATATCATATATCCCTTAATTTATACATTTAAAAGAATACATAAATCTATTTATTGCAACTGTGTTCACATTTACCTAAAATCAATGTATTTAAAATTGATTGATTTACTGGGCCAAAATCTTTACAGCAAATTTAAATATAGAAACCACTTAAAGGTCTTGTTGTTGTTTTTTAAAGTCCTCCTTGTTTTCAAGTCTGGGAAGTGGAATAAAAACTGATTACTTAGTTATCTGGAGGCTGACATTTTGCTAGTGAAATGTACCACCTTCCACTTTGTTTTTATTGATTTCATCATATAAATTAATAACTGAAAAACATATTTCATATGTATTTTGAAGTAACCTGCAAATGCCATCCCTGGATTCCATAATGTTTTCAGCATTTATGACACAGAATTTAGATTTTACTATATTCTAGAAAATATATAACCTTAGTTATTTTCAAACTCACTTTTGTGCTCCCTGAGACAACAGCTTTGTCCACGTTCGCTGGCAGCTGCTCTTCTGTCTGGCAAACTTCCAGTGACCATTCCGCACAGCGGTGATGAGCCCAACAATAGCCTAACACATGATGTTAGCAAATTAATCAATTAGTTTGGGCCCTTTTTGCCAAGTAATATCTAACTTTCAGCTTCAAAGGGAATAGAAAAAAGCACCAATGTATAACAGAAAGACAAATAGCATAACTTGATCCTATCAGTCATCCAAATTAATATTAAATTTGGAATCCAATATTAGGGTCTTATGAGAATTTCTGTAAACTGAGATCTCAGCAAATTCATAAGAATTCATACCCACATGTGTTACTACCATGTGACATGAAGATGTTTCTGAATAATGTAGTAGAAGGGCCCTAGTTATGGTACACAAAAGCTCTTTCTGCCTAATTTTGTCTCACCTGCTTACCTATCCCCACTCATAGTTGCATCTTCTTCAAAGGTTTTGCTAAACTGTGGGACAATCATCTTCTAGAGAACTACGAAGTTTGGCTAATCTCATGCTTTTCTATTCACCCTCAATCATGTAAAAAGGTTTAGCTCTTCGGGCTTGCTTATTATTTCTGTGTCACCTTGGAAAATGAATCTAAGAAGTTCTTGTTAAAGGAATCAGATATAAATTTTGCATTTCAATATGTAAACATTTATCTGTTGTGTTAATCTTGAGATCAAAACTCAGTTCAATTTATACCTGTTAAAAGTTCTGGACTTCCAGCCCATCATGCTCTATTAAAACAGGTAGCAGGATTAAAAAGACCCTTTTAAAGCCCAGGAGACCAGGCCAACTTGGACCAATGATAAAATATTTACACACACACACACACACGCACACACGCACACACACATACATACCCAGAAAAACTGTAACACAAATGAAACATTACAATGGATTAAACGGGGCAGTTTAAAATTTTTAATGGAAACTTTTACCCAAATATAGTTGGTCCTCAGCTTATGACCACAACTGGGACCAGAATTTCCACCAGTAAGCACAGTGGTTCTTAAGGAAGTCATACCTGATTTTATGATCATTTTTGCCACGGTTGTTAAGCGAATTGCTGCAGTTGCTAAGAGAATGCTCAGTTATTAAGTGGATCTGGATTTCCCCCACTGACTCCGCTTGTCAGAAACCAGCTGGGAAGGTTGCCAATTGTGATCACATGACCATGGGATATTGCAAACTTTGTAAATACACCCCAATTGCCAAGTGCCCGAATTCTGATCATGGGGTTATTGTGACAGTTGCCAAGTGCAAGGACTGGTTGTATATCACATTTTTTCAATACCGCTGTAACTTTGAATGTTCATTAAATAAACAGTTGTAAGTCAAGGACTACCTGTATTTCACAAGCTTCATTAGGATCGTAAGCTGGATATTGCAACATGTACTCATATTCAACCCTTAAAGCCTCATATGGCTACAATTATAGCAAAATACTATTATTATTATTATTATTATTATTTTCTTTTAAAAGAGAATGTAATTGTCCCCCCCCCCCACAAAGGCAGAAATAAATAAAATGTTTTGAATGAGTTAAATGTTGTCCAGTTAAGAATATGTGAAGAATATGTGAAGAATACCTGTTGGTTCAAATAAGGCTTGGATATCAATGTCATCTGGTAAGCCAACCATCCTAAGTTCATCCCAGACTTTGACTACCTGATCATCAGGAGTAGCTTCAATGCTTATACAGGTACAGGTTGTTATATTCTGTTCTCTGCACAGACCACAAGAAATGTTTATATAATTAAAGATGACACATACAGGATGTGTTTTACACATTAACATAACAGTAAAATGTTTCAGACAATAAAGAAATAATTATATGATTTAAAAAATTCATTTGGTTAAGCATGATTGCACTTCTAATTAACTTGTTCCTTTATTGTAAATTACCAATTTGGTTTTTTTTCTCCCCAAAAATGCAGTGTTGGTTTATTCATGGGAGAGCTATAATTTTTGTAATTTACTTGGTCCTTCATGAATGAACTGAACTTTATTCTGAACAAACAGTCTCCTCTCTAAACCTGTTAAAAGGATGATTTGGCTGGAAGAAAAAGGACAACAGCATGGAATAAGGAGACAGAAAAGAAATAAGTGCTGTATTTTCCTATGCCTTGGTACACTAAATTATATTTCTGCTGCACAGCAGGCAGCATGAAATGGTAACTTCACTTAGCAGAAATCAATTTCATGTAGAATAAGAGACGATTTAGAGCCCCGGAACTAGCAAGGGTGACCCCAACCCCATATTTGGGCAGAGAAGTGGTGCCGACTAAATGCTCCTAGGTCACATACTAACTTCAAGGGCAGCTGCCTTGAAGGAAAATTAGTTTTTTTCATGGCTTCCCTGTGCCCTGTTAAACCAGCATGACAAGATGACAGAGAATGAAAGGGACATTTTCTTTCAACATGCTGTTGACAGCTCTTTGAGGTAGACCAGACAAGGAAACCAAAGCTATAGATTTATTTATTTTTCACGTTTTTGAACCTCTCTTTTCTCTCGGAAAGGGATTCTGGGTGATATGCAATAAAATGTTAAAATATAAAAACAGCATATAAAACTTGAAAATGTAGAGTTTAAAAGGAGGTATCTGAAGGAATCTGCAACATACCTTGGTGACTGACAAGGTGGGTCCAGCCAATGTAATGGGGCAAAAATAGTTCCATTATGTAATCTGGCCCTATTTTACGCTTTATAGATAGCAGCACCAACACCATGAATTGGACTAGGAAGCAAACTGGCACCCAATGCAGTTCATACAAGCAAAGGTGTTATATGCGCCCATTTTCTGGCACCCAATACAGGTAATCCTCGATTTACAACAGTTCATTTAGTGACTGTTGAAAGTTACAACAGCACTGAAAAATGTGACTTATGACCACTGCAGAAGTCCCATGGTCATGTGATCAAAATTCAGACAATTGGGATCTGACTCATATTTAGGATGATTGCAGTGCCCTTCAGTCATCATGATCACTTTTATAAACTTTTGACAAACAAAGTCAAAGAGGAAGACAGAGTCACATGACAACTGTGGCAAGAAAGGTCATAAAATGGGGCAAAACTCACTTCAAATGTCTCACTTAACAACAGAAATTTTGGGCTCACTTGTGGTCATAAGTCGAGGACTACCTGTATAGCTTGTATAACCGCATTCTGCACCAGCTGAAGCATTCAGATAATTTTCAAGGGTAGCTCCATGTAGAGCGTGTTGCAAATAATCCAGACGAGAGATGACCATGACACGAGTGACTGAATGGAAAGTCATCGTATCCATGAAAGAGTGTAACTGGCACACATAAGAAGTTGAGCAAAGGCCCTTCTAAGCATGGCTGCCATCCGTTCTTTGAGCAGGAACTGTAAATCCAAAAGACCCTCAGGTCTTACGAACTGGATCTTTCTGGGGTAGAGTCAGGGGTGGGATTCAGCAGGTTAGGACCGGTTCAGGGGAATCGGATGCAAATTTTACATCTGGTTCACCAAACCAGTAGATGCAAGGACTGTCTGGCCCCTCTTGGCCCCTCCCAGGAGTCTCCATGCAGCCTGTTTTGGATGCGAGGTAAGTGCAGGGCCCATGTGGAGGCTCTGGGAGGGCAAAAAACAGGCCTCCCGGAAGTTCCAGAAGTCTGGAAATGGGCCCGTTTCTGGCCTCTGGAGGGCCTCCAGAGTCCCGAGGAGACCGTTTTTGCCCTCCAGGGGGCTTGAGGAAAGCCTCCAGAGCCTGGGGAAGGCGAACATCCCCCCGCCGCCGTGGTGCGTGGTACACGCCCCCATGGCCACACACACCCCAGCAACCGGTTGCTAAAATTTTTCAACCCTACCCCTGGGTTGTGTGCAGCAAAGATGATAAACTCCTGGATATAAAGTGGCTCACCTAGATTCATTCTATCTTACTAGGGTTCAGCTGAAGTCTGTTGTTCCCCCATCCAGGTCTCCACTGCCTACAAGACCACAAAAGAATGCCCACGGCATAATTCTCTTCAGTTGGGACAGAGATATATAACTGAGTATTGTTAGAGTACTTGTTATTCCTCATCCCATGGTAACAAATGATCTAACCCAGTAGTTTCATGTAGATATTAAAAAGGAACAGAGGAAATACCAAGACCCAGCATCCCACAAAACAGGGACCATGAGCTGGTGCCCTGTCAACATCGCTTGGGACCGGAATTGGAGGAAGAAGTGAACAGCACAAAACTGTGTCATCCACCCCCAGCTCTCTCAGTTGGCCTAAAAGGACATCATGGCCAATGGTATTGAATGTTGGTACTAGTTTTATTACAGGTAGTCCTCGACTTATTACTGTAATTGAGCCAGGCTATTAGAGTTGTACGTCATGATGATCATAAAGTGAACTACCATGTAATTGGACTTGTTTTTGTAACATTTTTGCAGCAGTTAATAAGTGAATAGTGTGCTTGTTAAGCAAACTCATTGTTTACTATTTTTTAAAATCAGAAGTAAACACCAGTTTGCAGCAAAACCACTGTAAATCGTGATCGTGTAACTTCAGGAAACTACAAACAGCCATAAATGTGGGCCAGTTGCTGAGTGCCCAAAATGCAGTCATATGACTGCAGGAGAGGGAGAGTGATGTGGGAATTTCAAAATTGGATCATAAATATTTTGTGGAGGTCTGCAAAACCTTAAATGGTCACTAAGTGACCAGCTGTAAGTCAAAGAACTACTTGTATAAGGTTCCAGTAACAGAATCTTGCCAGTCTAAATATTCTTTCTCCCTCCTTCCCTTTATATTTGCGAGAACTAGGAAGGGTCAAGTCTGAGATGTTTTCTCGGGTTATAGTTATGTCCTGGATTCAGGTTTACTTTTTTCTGACCATTGTCTTCGTGGCAGATTTTCCTCCTGTTCTTCAAGTTTATTCCTACTAACTTGCAAAGAAGAAGTAAAAAGAGTGACTATCAGGCTTTGGAGATAATACCAGATGTTTTGTATTCATCAAATTATTTCAATTTTGGAAAAGAAAATTAGCATAAATGCATGCTAATTCAGCTATAGCTTCAGGGATTTTAAAATCCATATCTGTTTCATAAAGCCCACCTTCCAAACGTCTCTACTATCCTAGATCAGATTGGCCCCAACCCTGAGCTTTCATAAAAGGTCTCTCACTGAAGACCTTCATGTACTCCAGGGCCTGAAGTCAAATGGCCTTTTGCCAGCTCATCAATTATTTTGTTGGGTTTATCCTTAGTGACATTTTTGGCTTTTTATTCTTTGCCCAGATTGTTTTTGCTGCTTTAACATGTTGTTAGTCAACTTTGCCAGATTATCCATTTGAATCAATTATATAAATTTTTTAATCCTAAATTGTTCTGATTTAAATAGTTGATTTTATGGACTGTATTGTAGATTGATCAGAGCCCCTTTCCGAGGGAGCTGGGTGGTTGAGAAATAAAAATAAAGTCTAGCATAAAAACCTAAACATTCCCTATAATTAAAAATGCTTTGCTTATATATTGGCAGAAAGCTAAGCTCACAGAAAGTTAAGAATTCCAATTTAAGAGAAAACCCAGAACCCAAATACACAACAGAGACCCACTATTCTTAAATGAGATGCAAACACGTTTAAATTGGATTATTAAGAGTTGTATAAACATTTCTAGAATCATCTCTGTGGAACACCTGCATAAACAAAAAATGTTTAATAATAATAGTTTAATAATAAATTTATGAAGACTTTTATCTACTGATGTGGAGAATAAAGGCAATAACCTTGAGAGAAATCTGCAAGCACCATTACACAAAGAGAAAGGGCTGAAACATTCTTTAAGTCCTGAGAAGATAATTTTCAGAAATGACCCAGATAAGTCCTTCCTGATTAATTGGGATATAAGGAGGAAGGGTGTTAAAGCACCATTGGGTTTGCAAGATTGATGCCAGCCCCAATAGAAAAGACCAGACCAAAAAAAAGTCCACTCTACAGGAAGATTAGAACTACAGGTAGGCCACAATTGAGCTCAAAATTTCTGTTGCTAAGCAAGACAATTGTTGAATTTTGCCCCGTTTTACAACTTTTCTTGCCACAGTTAAGTGAATCATCCCAGTTGTTAAGTTAGTAATACAGTTATTTAAGTGAATCTGAAGAGACTGTCCAATCTCTTCCAGGATTGGAGCTTTCACAACTCTGGAGGCAAATTTTTCCACTGATTAATTGTTCTAACTGTCAGGGCAATTATTCGGTGGTGCACCTTGCCTCCAGAACTTTGCTTATCAGAAAATAACAAAAGATGATCACATGACCCTGGGACACTGCAATCATCATAAATATGAGTCAGTTGCCAAGCATCCAAAGTTTGATCACATGACCATAGAGCTACTGCAATGGTTGTTAAGTGTGAAAAACAGTTATAAGTCACTTCTTCAGTTCTGTTGTGACTTCAGACGGTCACCAAATAGTTAAGGAATACCTGTATATCTTTGTGAGATAGAGCTTTATCTCCCATCCTTCTAATATATAATAGTTCTTCTCTAGTTCTGTCAAGGTAATCTCCATTATTTTCTACATCAAATATTATTTCACTAAAATTAATTATTGACCCATTTCATGTGACTTAGATATAAATAATTCACATTTCAATTTTAGAAAATATTTCAGCACAAATTACATATATATAAAAAAAACAAAAATGTACCTTGATCTGCAACACCATAAGAGTAACAAACTGTTAATACTGATCAGGAATATGCCTAATTAAATTTCAAATCATTGTAAATTTCACCTCTACATGGAAAACATTTGAGATTCTTCAAATATCTGTTACTGACTTGTTGACATGTAACTGTCATATTCAACACATTTATTCCATGTAGAATAAATTAACTTTTTACTTTAAATGTTTCTATGCTTAAAATGAATCAAAAAAGGGAGAACAAATTACAGATATTCAAATAAAAAGTTAGAATACTTTCAATATATTAAAATATTGTAATCCAGACTTTCCTTAAAAATGATCCATTTTAAATCAGTCAAAATACTTCTTTTGCATAGTTTTTGTTTCATTTTTTACTTCACTGCTTTTATCTGACTGACACCAGCCCAGAAATCACACCAATAAGAAAAGTCCAACGAACAATCCCCTTTAGTAGCTAAACTTGGAGACCAGCCAAGATGGCACTAGAGTATGATTGCATCACCCTCCTCGGGGACAGAGATGGTTAGCTGTTCCAAGTAAATTAATTTTGCACTTTCCCATAAGCTACAAAAACTGATTAATCAGCTCAAGACTCTTTAAGTATTTTTTTTCAATATAGAAGTGCATCATTCAAACTCTCAAAAAACAGCTACTACAGAATGCTTCTTAGGCATAGAGCATAATAAATAAATGCAAAAATGAAGAAAACAAAATGGGATTAAAAAGAAAGTCCCAGTGTCAGATATTCTTACAGCTGTGCTCCTCCTTCCAGGATTATATAAGAGTAACCCCAAAATGGTCCTGTGGTAGGAATATTTTTCAATTTTATTTGCAGATTCATTCTGCAGTATCACAGCCTCTGGGTCTAAATCTGGCTTATCACTCTCGTCTCTAACCACCCTTGATCCAGGTTTGTGGGTGTGTTTGTGTGTTCATTTCTACTCTATTGTTTTACGCTTTCTGTCAACCAATATTATATTCTGTAAGAAATTTCTGCTTTTGATTTCAATTGCCACTTAGAAAGCTCTGGATGTATGTTATGCCACTGGATGTATCTTATCCTAATATCTAACATTTGTTTTATTAAACAAACAGGTAAGCAGACCAAAACCGCATGCTGCTTCAAAATATTATTTATGCTTTGGGAAAAAATATTAGATAAAATAGTTTTATTTTGTAACAGATAGAAATGCTTACTTTTTTTGTCCTCTTGCTTTGTGGAGGACTGGGTTCTGCCTTGGAATACTCTCATCAATGGTATCGTTGCTGTCAACAGTTTCATTGATATTTAAGGGCTGGTTGTTCCATGGAGCAATAAACCCTGGAGTTGGACTGAATTGTTTAAGCTCGCCTTGTCCTAATGAGCTGCGTTCCCCACAGTAACAAAAAGCGCAGACCTGTTCACTGCTACAAGCAGACCAAAAATAAGAAAGACCAGAAAGGCAAAAGATGGCATTTAATTTCTTTGTACAATAAAGTAAACTTAACTTAAACTTAATCAAATGGTATTTAAAAATGCAAATTTTTAAAAAATTGAAAGAGAAATTTTGCCATCCAATTACTTTAAATACAGTAAATAAAATATTAATATTTAAATTAGATCTAACTTCACCTGTAAATGTTTTCACAAAATTATCCCAGATGAATAAAAAAAAATCCAATGCTAAGCATTTCTGGATTGCCTATACTACGGTATACTACTCTTTTCAGGCTGAATAGCACATCAAGAGCTGCACTGTAAAAGTTAGCACAGCCAGGATGAAACCCTAAATTTAATTATGAATATAATTACATTTAAAAGATGATATTAATTTAAAATTAATTACTTTAACGTTGACATTAAACACAATGTATTTAAAAATTTTTCTGTTAGGTTAAAAATCATAATTTGGCAGCATTCTCTGGAAAGTCTCAGAGAAGCCAACCTAAAGCTTGAGAAAAACTACTGGTATATTGCCCTAGGATAGGAATTTTTCTTCCCTTGCTGTCTAGTTTTGCTAAAAACTGTTAGCATTGTTTCTCACCAGTTTAAGTTGAAATGAAGAAAAACTCCACTTTAAAATAGGCATACCATAATAAAAAACAAAAAAAGTCACCCTCCCACATAATGATTATTTTCAGCTTACCCCCAAAATGTGTTGATCACACAGGTTGTGCATTTAAGTTCTAAATTCAGTGTGTAATCTTAATTTACAATTAGTTTGGACTTTTAGCAACTCATTATGGTTAAGGCACCAGGCTAGAAACCGGGAGACTGAGTTCTAGTACTGCCTTAGATATGAAAGCCAGTTGGGGACCTTGGGCCAGTCACTTTCTAAATCTTAGCCCAATCCATTTTACAGGGGTTTTTTTGAGGAAAACAGGAGGAGGAAGGGTTATTAGGTATGTTCGCTGACAAAGGCAGGATATAAATGAAGAAATAAATTTGCTAAGATATTCTTGTGAAGCAGAAAAACAAATGCAAACTGGTTCACAGCTATTTTCAGTGCTTTTTCTTTAAAAAGAAAGGCTGGATAAATCTGTTTTAAAATTTAGTTAATAAAGTGACCGATTTCTGATTTCCATATCATCTGAACCACTATTATAACTGCTATTATAAATTTAGGGAAAAGTTATAAGCATGAATCTACCTCTTTCTTAGTTAGGAATGAATAGAATAAGCACAATTAAACCACTTATAGACAAATCAAAAGTCTAAAAAAAAATAGCAGGCGACATATAAAAGTCTCAGCCATCCTTTCACTCATTCTGAATCTGCCTCGCTAACCTGCTTTTTGCTTCAACCCCAATCGAACAATTGGTGTTGGCAGAGTCCACAGAGACTGAGCACTGGAGATCTGGGGTTGGCTTCTTGTCATCGTCCACTTCACTTTGGGCATCCTCCTCTGTAAATTGTTCCCTGGTATCTGCTTAGCAAGGAGAGTGTAAGTTGATTATAGATTTCATTTTAAAGTGTTTAAACAAAATAAGCCATTCTGTTCTAAGCCGTTTTTTTCCATTTTCAAAGCATGAGCAAAGTTATACCACAAAATGTTATTTATTTGTCTGTCTGTCTGTCTGTCTGTCTGTCTGTCTGTCTGTCTGTCTGTCTGCTTGTTTGTTTATTTAAAACATTTATATAGTTGACCACTTTCCAACCAATTATGGGTGGTTCCAAAATCAAAACTATCTATAAAATTTGTATTAAAATTATAAAACTAAACATATTAAAACATTAAAATGTTAAAAACAATGAAGACCTGGCACCAAATCAAACTTCTAATGTGTAAATTATCCAATCTTTTCCAAGCCCTTGGAGGTGGGGGTGGGGTGGGGGAGGGGAATAGATCTTCAATCTTTATGGAAGACTTGTCAAACTTTAGAGTGCTCCATAGAGTAGGGACTGCCATAGAAAGGGCAGGTTTCCTAGCTTCCATCAGATATTAAGGGGAAGGAAGTAGGAGCACTCCAACCTTATTTCACCTGGTAGGAAGGGTGGTCCTTAGGGAAAGATGGTCCCACAGCTAACTAGATCCTGTGCCGTTTAGAGCTTTAAAGGCAATGATCAGAAGTTGAATTGCACCCAGAAAGAAGCTGAAAGCCACTGTAGCTCAAGCAACAGGGACCTTACATGGGCAAACCTAGAAGAGACCCCCGTTACTGTGTACGATGCTGCATTCTGGACCCATTTGTAGTTTCTGGATACTCAAGGGTAATCCCATGTAGAGAGCATTGCAATAATCCAGATAGTCAATGACCAAGTCATGAGTGACCATGAGCAAGGCCTCAAAATTTAATTATTATTGTTCCCTCTTGCAGGTATGTAAAAAAACAATGTGGTGGATGTAGATTTAGGCTGTACAGTTGAACAGGCAGAGGCTGAGTTGTGACTGTCTTCACAGCAGCTCTACTAGTCATTGATAAATGCTATGGAAGGTGTGGGGAGTAACTACAGTGTGATAGTTTAAACTGCTTCCCAATTTCCATGGAACTTCATTAGCTTTAATCCTTTCTAACTCTTGTCAATCTCATTCTATTAACTAGATCTGCTCCATTGTTGGTGTAACATTTTTAGCAGGACACAAAAATTGTTATGGGGTGATGGACATATGGAAAGTCTATTTCTACCAGGTTAGGAGGAGAGTTAAATCTAAACTCTGTAGAAGATTTAGACTGTAGAAAACTAGTATTAACAAATTTATTCAAAAAATAAGGACCCGAGGATAACTGAAGTACAAAGTAAAGTTTACTGAAATGGCATGTCAATGTCCAAACTGAAATGTGAGAAATAAAATATAAAAATGTAAAAATAAAAAACATCTTAAAAGATATAAAGGAGGGGGGAGGAAAAGAAAGAGAGAGAGAGAGAGAAAAGAGAAAGAATACTTATTGTTTAAACTTTACAAAGCAGATTATTACTAGATATGGTAAATTTATTACGTGACATAAAATTAGAATTAATGAATATCCCAAACGATCTTTAGAGGAAATGAAAAGAATTAAGCATGAATTATTATTTATCTACCCATCACAATCCAAAGAGTATCAGTGGCTTATTTAGATTATTAAAAACCAAGTAAAACATTAACAGTATAGCCACCATAAAATTAGTAAAAGAATATTATTTAAACATAAAACAAGAAAAACAAGAAATAAAGATGGTCTAATAAAATCAGGAGAAGACATTCTGGAACTCCATCTCAAAAGCTTTTGAAATATTAAGGAGTGGGCTAGTTTGATCTCAGCTGTCACAGAGCATCAGTCCTGCCACAGAAAACCAGCACCTCGTTGCTTCAACCTGAAAATGTGGGATCAGTCACAGTTCTCTGTTTGATTTAATTGTTTGGGATGATATTGGTTGGAGTAGGATGTAATATATTCTTTAAAAATTGTATCCCTCCTTAGCTCCAGATAAAACTCACGGTACTATGAAATTAAGGTACGCATTGCGCTTACACAACAATAGCTGATCACAGTATTCAAGACTATTCTTAAAAATAATAAAAACAATATTCAGCTATAGTGAAAGAAAGATATTTCCTGTTAAAATTCTTTAAAAATGGTGGAGACCAATCAATTTTTCCATTAATCTGGCCATTGTTCTTGGGATGGAGAGAGCTAAATAACAGCTCTGATCCAGTGGTGAAATCCAAATTTTTTTACTACCGGTTCCATTGGCATGGTTTGGTGGGCATGGCAGGGGAAGGATACTGCAAAATCCCCATTCCCTCCCCACTCCTGGAGCAAAATCTCCATTTCCACCCTACTCTGGGGCCAGCCAGAGGTGGTATTTGCCAGTTCTCTGAACTACTCAAAATTTCCACTACCGGTTCTCCAAACAGCTCAAAATTTCCGCTACCAGTTCTTCAGAACCTGCTGGATTTCACCCCTGTGCTGATCCAATAGTATCTGATAGGAAAAGAAACAGCCTCAAATACAGCAACATTCAAGCCAATGTAACAAGAAGACTGAGACTGACATGTTCACTACAAGTGACATTGGACCCCGAGCCACAGTATTGTGAAATATGAAACATTATATCACTTATTTAGTCTGTCTAATTTGGTCTTTGACCAGCACAAAATGTAAAATTGATAATACAAAATTGATCCATAATTTTGTATTTATAACAGTGTTAATTAATTTTTTTGTGTTTACCAGAAAATACCTGTAAATTAAATCTAAAACTATAATCAAACACTATGTATGAGTTTAGAATAGAACATTTTAATTATAGCTTCATAATAGCTTTTACAGAAGTCAGATGAAAAAACATAAAAATTTCTTATTAAATTAGGTAAGAATAAAATAAAGCAATAAAATACAAGTATTACAGGATTTATAATTTAAATACTAAAGATTAAATCAATAAATTACCAAAGTACTTTGCAAAAGTATAAAATAATATTGTCAGTTGTAAAATACAGTAATATAAAATAACTCTCACATAAAATTTTAGATAGGATTGCTAAATTGCATCTTTTGTTCGTGGTCAGACCGAATAATAATTCTCAGGTTTCACTATCTGCTACCTAATGATACAAGCTCTGAAAAATGGTAACCATAAAGGTTAATGTCAGCATTATGATCTGAAAGAAATGAAATGCAAAATTTGTTTGGTCTACCAGCAAATCTCTTTAGAAGACGACTTAAGAGATAGGTGATAAATTTCATTATGGAAACAGCAAAACAGAAGTACATGCCCTACAGATTCAACCACAAATAGTTCCTTGACTTATGACTATAACTGAGTCTTGAATTATGGTCATAGGTTTTTGCAGTTAGTAAGCAGGTGACCATGTGACCGGACTTGATTTTATGACTTTTTTGCAGTAGTTGCTAAGCAAGCATAGCAGTCAATAAAGGAATCAATTTTACATAATGAGTTTCTGCTATTTTTTTTGGTACTTAAAAGGTCCTTAAAAGGACCATGGGATTGTGTGTGAAGCCAGGAGATCCTTGCGTGTCTGGCTGCCAGTCCGTCTGTTACTCATTTAGCACCACCCAGGAGGCACGTGTGGCTTAAGGGTTGCCACGGATGCGTTATTGAAATGTTATTTCTGTTTTCCTCTTAGGTTTTCTTACTGCTCTTTTTTTAATTGTTTTAATTGTTTTAACCTGTAAAAATGAAGTGTTTTAATATTGTGTGTGACCAGCCATATGCTAAATAAATAAATAAATACATAATGAATATTTTTTTTGGCCAGAACTCAGAGGTAAATACCAGAAACAATCAAACAAAAAATGTCAAAAAGCATAGTCGTAGGACATCTCAAACAGCAGTAAAGTTGTGGCAGTTATCAAGCATCCAAAATGTGATCACATGACTACAAAAGGGGAGGTGTTGTAGCCAATGTAACTTCAAAATCGGATTGCAAATCATTTGGGGGGCTGCGCCTTAACTTCTGTCATTAAACAACCGGTTGTTAAATTGAAGACTATCTGTACTGCTGTATGGCAGTGGGCAAGTCTAAAGATTATACATTGTTATAAATGTTATACTATAACACTAAAGGTAAAATCAATAGAATTAAGAGCTGTACATGAATATAATTCAAATAATCTCGGCACTAGCTGTAACCCTAACTCTTGGAAAGGATTTAATCATGTTGAAATAATATCTCGTTAACTTTAAAACAGGGATCTCTAAATTTGGCAACTTTTAAGACTTGTGGACTTCAACTCCCAGAAATTCCCCATGGCTAGTGAATTTTGGGAGCTGAAGTCCACAAGTCTTAAAATTGCCAAGTTTGGTGACCCTGTCTTCAAACAAATAATTTTCAAACAATTTTGAAACAAATAATCTTCAAACAAATGAAGACCCTGTCTTCAAACAAATAATCAAACAAATAATTATTAAGGTAGAAATACGAATATAACACATTTCTCCCTCAAATAACACTTAACTAAGTATAAATTCCTGTTGCATTTTATATATGGCTGCACAGAATTTGACATTATAAATAATTGTAAAATCATTATCTAAAAGTAATCAACAAATATAAAACTAGTTTGTATGGTCTGGTATCCTTAAGTGCAATAGGAAAATGACTTGACTTGTGAATGTCTATAAATGTTCCATTTCTAATGAAGAAAATCACATCCATAGCTTCCTCACTGTCATCACTGCATGGATACAAGTGGTCCAAAAAAGGCTCCTCCTGTATTTTCCTTCTCACACAGCCAGAATTGGGGACCACTGAAACTTACAAAGATATAAGCAACAAAGATGATTAGGAAACTGGAGGCTAAAATGTATAAAGAACAGTTGCTGGAACTGGGTATGTCTAGTCTGATGAAAAGAAGGACTAGGGGTGACATGTTAGCAGTGTTTCAATATTTCAGGGGCTGCCACAAAGAAGAGGGGGTTAAGTTATTCTCCAAGGCACCTGATGGCAGGACAAGAAGCAACGGGTGGAAACTAATCAAG